TTTTAAGTTTCATAAAAATCATTTTACGGTCGACGAGGATCTCTCCTAAAATGCGTTCCATTTACAGTTAGTAAGATAGCGTTCTAGCATTTTATCGTTAAAATCGAATAAATTGGTTGAATGCTTTCAGTGTTCATGACCTGTGTCGCCATTAAATTTTAACCAAATCGCGTTCGGTTGAGCAGGTTTTCCGGCGAAGAAGACTATCAAAATTTCATCTTCAGAGAGTGCGAGACCACGGACGAGTAGTAGTTTAGTTTCTTTTGGTTCGGGTAGCCTTGCTCCAACAAACAATCGATAGATAGACGAACTGGTGCTAGAAATGACAGCGAGAATGAGTCGGCGATTCTGCGAGAGAGAGACGTATTATATTATTATTGTGTTATATCTTCGAAATTTATTCTAACTTTTTATTATCGGACGCCTTCTGTCATTTAAATTTCATTCAGAACATAAAAGAAACAAGGATTTTCGGCATTCGTAATTCGACGCAAAAATATAGTTATGCCCTCCTAAAGGTCAAAGACACTGGCGCTCCGTCTTGACCAAAGATCGTTCATTCAAGATAAATCACGACCATGAGTTTTACGGTTTTTTATCTTCGCCAGCACGATATATGAAAAAGAATGGAATTTACGACCGATGGACTAATAATGATTAGTTTATTGTAGTGGAAAAGGAAATGTAGGCAGTTCGATTCGGAGATAAATAGATGTAGAACATTAGATGCAAATTCTACGATTACGTAACTCAACGCTGAACATTAATAAAATATGGAAATGACGCTGTATGTTTGAGTAGCAACAAGGAATCAACCTTTTGGTCGTCAAAAAGTACCATGTTTGTTTGGTGATTTATCGAAGCAACCTCTGGTGTGTTGATGGGAACTAATAAATACGAAATCGCGATCTTTATGTAATTGGTTTACGTATTACCAATGGAATGGTTAAGCTATTTAGTGTCTTTTTTATCTCAAAATATGGTAACGTGTTCTAATATTTCGGATATTTAAATTTGTCGCCTATTTGTAGCTTTATGATCAATAATTCTAGCGCGTAAGTTAGCGGACGTTTCCGTCATGTTTTCAATTTATCGTTGGTAGTAATCATATTGCTCCGGATGCGTGTGGGTTTTATGCAGTGCCACTGTGGCGCCTTTTCAGGCTGATCCTCCTGCCAACTAACCCTTTCACCACCTATCAATTATAGAGGCTTTTCATTTATAAATTACTTATACGTAGGAAGAAAGAAGGATCTCGAAACCGTCCACGATCCAGTGATAAAACGCGTTGACTCTAAACTGCAAGAACTTAGGTCCGATTCCTCAACAGAGTTACAAAAATATGCCGATTGTTCTTCTCGGAATGGCAATACCCCGTCTAGAATTTTGAGGGTGTGCAGGTAGGGTCCTTAAGTAGGTAACTACACTACTTGTTTTGGACTCTATGATGTTGCCCCCTGGGGCAAGGAAGGGGCATATAACGCCTTGCCGCATTTGCCTATAATGAGGAATGCCGCATGTGGCTCCACAGGGAAAAATTATTGATACCCCATTGAAAATTTTAGGAAAAATGAACTTTATAATTAATGAAAAAATCATCATCGCCATCATAAGGTCGTCAGTCCTAAGACTAGTTGGATACGTACCTCCACTCTTTCCTATCCTGAGCTAAACTTCGCATTTCCCTAAAACTAGAACAACCCACATCCTTAACTATTTGCGAACAGTAGTCTAACCTAGGTCTACCTCTACCCCTCCTAACTCCTGTTTCTGCCTCTAATATGTCTCTGACTAGACCTTCATGCCTGAGAAGNCTTTGCATTTTTATCTGCTGAAAGTTAGGTTATGTTGGTAGGTGCTCACCCTGTATATTACCTCTAAAATAGCCCCTTACAAATGTGTAAACTGTAATATAAATATCTATTAGATATTTTATGTATCTATTGTTAATAATATTTATATTTCTTAGTTGAATTGACTTCCAGCACGAATTTTATAAAACAATACTTAAAATGTTAAGATGTCGTTTTAGTCAGAACCAAATTTCAAGAATATTCCGTGTTCCGAAAATGTAATATTATAAAAATAAATATTTTTCTATTGAATTGTATGTAGGTGTGTAGTTATTCGTACATTTATGTATTCTTGACTAAATCTTTACTGTAGCTTGTAATGTTGAAGGATAAGTAACTGTTTTATTCTAATCCATGTAGATATAAACTGCAGGTAATGATAATTAAGCATTTAACGTCTTAGTAAATTTTAACCAAAATGTATCATTTTATATACTTAATATAAAAGTTATTATATATATATATACGTTTAATTACTTAAGTAATTATACCTAAATAAAGTCTTCTACACGAAATCGGAGTTTTATTCAAAAAAACTCAACAGTGCACTTGATGGCTTAGAATTGTTTGAGCTCCTCAACAGTTCAGAAAATTTAAACATAACACTTAAAAAAACGCCATTTTTGGCCTCTTTGAGAGTATTACAACATGTTGGAGTAAAAGAACAAAATAAATAACGATAAGAGAAAATAGGTACAATATTTCTGTCTGAGGAATCCTTTGTCATTGAATCAGAATATCTGGTCTCAAAATTGTGTTAACACACACGAGAATTTTGAAATATCTTGATCTCAAAATTGAAATGTTGCAATTTGGCTTTTTTAATGAGCAATAAACTTTAACATTAAATTAAATGTGATTAGGTATCCAATTTTACCATTTTTCAAACTAGTTGTATGCTAATCACCAGCAGGTAATTGGTAATTTTTATAGAATTTTAAATTGCTTACTACAGCTCCAATTGGTTTACAAACTATCCAAATTTTGTAGCTAAAGTAAAAACCAAAAGAAGTAAGAANCAAGGGGATTATTATTATTATAAGCTTTTTCATTTTACCGAGAGTTTTTTCATACAGATTTGCCTCATCGAGCCCCAGGTAGATTTAATTTAAGTTTATATATATGTGATAGGTTTGCCTCTTAAGACCCATTTGAAAACCCATAAGGCAATCCTCATTCTAGTATCACCACTTTTTTGGTGGGATTTTCATGAGGAATCTACGGGGAAATCTCTATATCAGCATGGCCCGTATTAGCCACATGAGGCCCACACGCTACGTGGGGCATCCCCCCTATAAATTGTAGTCGGGATTAAGTCGGAAGTACATGTTCGATTGCCTACTTACTCTCGTGGTTCTGGGTCCAAAATTTACTCTTATAATAATAATAATATAAGTACCTACATATTTAATGCAATAATTGACGAGTGCAGAGGAACGAAAATAATAAAGATGATATCTACCCAAAGAAGAGAACATGAAAAAATTATAGTTTATGGGTTCCTATTTTTTTTTTACCAAGAATTAAATGTAGATACACCCCTGGTGTAAATCTTCATTAAAAATGCAAGAAAGTCTGTTGTAAGTATGTTCGTTTATTTTATTTTAATAACTCGGGTCCCGCATCGAACTTTGCTTTGTGTGCTACTAAAATTGAAACCAAATCGTGCAGATGAGCATTGCTAAAAATAAATAAAAAATACCGTCTACGGACTTTAGGGCTTCCACATGTCTTTAAAAGGATCATTTTCAGTTTAGGCCATACGTAGATGGGTATTAGGTTTTTGCGGGGCTTGAATTCAGAATAAATTCGATAGTTAATTAGATTACTAGTTTCTAAGAAAACTGGGTGTGTAACAATAGAACGTCGAAAAATTACAATCTTCCATAATTCAGGATGTCGTCTAATATGATGACGGCAGCAAGACCAGATGAGTAAATAACGATATTCCCGCATTGATGATAACAGGAGAAAACGTAAAGTCATTCGTGGCAAAAATTGATTCCTACATTTCCAAATTGATAATTTCTGGAATGATCTTATAATGTAACCTTTTTAACCCCCACAGAAGCGCGAAGTCGCTGCCATCAAGGTTATTGTGTTTAAAAAGTCTTAGACTTATAGCGGTATTTATTCTTTAGATTAGGAGATTTAGAACGCCTCCTTCAAGATGTGTTCATACCCTCCTTTGACTTTTTCACCCCTAATGAAGACAGGGTCTGCATAAAGTACTATGTAACCGAAAGCGTCAATAAAAATAAAAGCGTGAACAATAGTTTGGTCGAAAATATAATATTTGGAACTATAAGGGTTCCATTTTACCCATGCAGCTACAGAACCGTAAAAAATTGGAACTCCAAAGTGTTTATCTAAAATGTTGGAGTTACAGATACTTTTGAATACTGTAATATAAACGATGAAATCCAACACTACCACTATTATATGATAAACTACATAATTTTGAAATATTTCTCTCTTATAGTTTAGAATTGGTAGATACCTATATCAACTATTTCGGTAATTATCCAGAATTGGGGCTCCAGACCAAAATCGCTCCAAAAATTCTTTCATCGTTTCTCCCCCGCTTTCTAATATCTTACTCTATTATGTACAATGACCAGAAATCGATGATAAATTTTTTGGAGCGATTTTGGTTTGGAGCCCCAATTCTGGAAAATTACCATTACTTCCACAGTAGCAAAGTCTGCTAGAAACACTGAAATAGGTAACGCTAAGAAGTATAGTGTGTAGGCTGGTTGTTCTCTACCTGTTTCTGCCTGAATTTACCTGCAGTGGGCTGGGAATAAAAACAAAGAGGCATTAGACAATGAGTCGGACGAACGGACGGACGTGAAGGCAGGGTATCTGCAAGTATACCTTTTATTATACCAACTCTACTACCAGGTTCTATAGCCAAGCAACCAACCGAGTGGTGGCCCATGGTGTTCAACCTTGGCTCGTTATTTCTTTCCAATTTAAAGTCACTTCTGTTTAAGGCCTACGCCTGGCTCTAATGCATTCCATTATTCCCTTTTATACATCTAGGCACCCGCGGCTCCGAAAACTCGTCTGAAAGGACCCCCGGACTCGTCGGATTTCACCGAGCGCGCCCGACACACAGCCGATCCGGAGGAGTTCCGTACACAGATCGTCCCCCTCGAGACTGTGGCAGTAAAGATCGTGAGACTCTAGCGTTACGAGGAAGTGCGGTCCGACATTTCCAACTCTGTTTATTATTAAAAGTATCGGTTAAATAAAACGAAAACATTACGATTCCGTTGCGACGTACAATTCACTCGCTGTACGAAATAAACTGATTGATCGACAATTCCTGCTGCTATTGTTGTTGTGGTACTCGGGGACATTTCTTGACGGTGCAATTGATGATAACGGTTTTTTTTGTGAAGCTTTTTGAGTGCTTTTCGAGCCTAGAAAATGTGATAAGTGAGGGAGTGAGAAAAGGGTTTTGTGTGTGGTGAAGTTTTTCTATCTACTAAACGGAATTGGTAAACGTAAAGTGTGGATGGATTACTAAAGATCATAATCACATTCAAAGGTAAGAAACGTTGGTCTCTGGGAATACGGTGTTTGCGACGGTTATAAATCGGGCAACGACCATACCGTCATAGCAGTACTAGAAGATTATTCCCCCTTTTTCTTTGTCTTATAAAAGGACATACATGGGGATCTACCAAAGTATTTGGGTGTAGTACTTTATTTGAGCCCAAAGGATTATGTTTCAATTAACACAAGACGGAAAGGCGTATCATCGTCTATGGGTTTTGAATTTTTGAGAAGCTCGTCAGAAACCTAAAACTTACTGTTACCCCTTTCTATGAAATATCGAGTTTCACAATTAACTTTTATAGTATTTAAATGTTTTTGCCTTTACAATTACATCTATTATCGGAACTGTTGAAATCCAAATATCCAGCAACTATAACTGACCTTGTGTAGGTTTTATAAAAAGCTTAGTCCATGCGTTTTGTTTTGCCTGAGCTTCTTGTGCTTTTAATTCTTACGCAATATCATGTCAAGTATTGGGTATAGTCGGAAGCTCACATAGGTACCCAGTTTGCTTCAAGCTTTTTTACATACCTAACCCAATTGGAGGGTCTAGTAAGACTTTGGTCAGTTCATCCATTTCAATACTTTCAATATTGTGAGTGAGATAATGAAAGGTTCTGGTGGAGTAAAGTTTTTGTTTTGGATAACAGTAGGTTCGTCGTGTTCATCTAGTTATAACTGAAACCTACACACTGGTCTCGTGAAACAAGGCATATTATTTCTTCAAAAATAGTAATAATGGGTGTAAATAGTTTACAAAACATTTGAGTCTTAAACGTTTAGTGTCTTTTTGAAAATGCTTGGATCTTGTAATGGTGTAAACTTTAAGGATCTTTCCCAACACTAACTGGGTATTGGTTCTTCTACACTCTACAGTTTGCAGTTTCTAGAGTTCGGTCTTTACAGTCTTATATTGGGTACCCTCCTGAGATCACTATATCGAAGTCAGTTCAGTTATTGATCGTTTCTTCCAGAAATAACATCCTTAGACACGCCTGAGTTAAAAATGTTTGTCTCTGAGTGTCTCTCAATTGAAATCTGGTCTCCACATTCCGTATGTTCCTTTTGAAATCTCTTATCTTTTTCTGAACTGTGAAAGTAGCAATTTAAACGAATCAGTAAGTCCATTGTCCTATTGCAATCTTTTTGTAAACAGTTTTCTTGTAATTTACCTTGTTTTGCAAAGGAATTATGTTTGAGTAAGTGTATCATAACTTGGAGATGGAGATGGATGGAGGTGTAGCCTCTCTACCGTTTAATTACTCCTTTGTAAATTATAACCTGCACATTTGTAAATTATTTCTTTTGATAAAATCTAGGCACCTTTGTAATGGTATTGCCGATGTTCATCGTATCAAATCAGCTACATCCTTTCAAGCTTTAGATTCTACCTTAGTACCATATTCTCCTCGTAAACCGTAATCAGTCTGCACACTCCTTACAACGTAGATATTATTCGAGCTTGATTGGTTTAACCCATATCTCATGCAATGACTAATATTGTTCTATTCAAATTGAGTGCTCTCGCAATTTCTTTTTCTCGATCAACATGATGGCCAAATTACTTACCCAAAAAAATTTCACTTCCTAACCGAATGGTGATAAAAAGTAGAAGAGAATCAACATGTGCTCACATGCGACATTTTTTACATTGAAATATTATTTGAGTTATATGACAGGTTCACCCTTGGTCCATCATCATCATAAGGTCGTCAGTCCTTCGACTAACTGGACATGCATCTACACTGTTTCATATCCTGAGCTAATCATTGCATTTTCATAAAACTAGAACATCCCACATCCTTAACTATTTGTGATCCAACGTAGGTTTATCTCAACTCCTGTTTCTGCTTCTGATATGTCTCTGACTAGCTCTTCATGCCTGAGAAGGTGTCCTGCCAATCTATCTTGCCTATTTCTTATTGATTTCCATAGAGTCCTCTGTTCTCCTATTCTTTCTAATACCTCTTCATTTCTAACCTTCTCTATTCACGGTATCCTCATCATTCGCCTGTAACACGACATTTTGGTCCATGCGAAGAAAAAGCTGACAACGTCCCTTCTTTCAATCTCCAATATTCTGTTCTCTGCTTACTTTCTCACTAACTTATTGAGACTTTATTGATATATTATGTGTATAAGTATTATTCTACCTTTAATCTTAAGAACAATTCAAGTTCTTGGTCAGTAATTTATCGGAACTACTATCTACTGCCTTGAATTTTATTATCTGTGGGTACTTTTATATGATTAATCTAAAACACACGAGTGAGTTGTCCAAATCGTTTCTCCTGTGCTTGCCAGTCGGTGCTTATTTTTGAATTTCATTACTTTTACTGATAACATATGTCGTACCCAAATCTGCTGTGTATTTGGGGTATCAAATGCCTGTATCTTTTCTGGCACGTGTAACGCAAAACATTGTAAAATATGAAAAAGGATTGCAGCTAATTTACAAGTATGGTTATTAATTTATGTATTTTTGTGGCGAGGTTTCAAATATTTACTTTTGTAACAGTGCACTTATTAAAACGCCGATTTATTCACTTGCAAAGTGTATAAAGGCTTGTTCGAATTGTGCCTAATCATCAGTTTACAAAAAGTGGAACTTTATGTAGAAAAGGTGGATGATTCCTAAACAATTCCTCCAAATGACTTCCAACTGGTATGCGATTCCAAAATTTGGCATCTGTTAGGTGCAGGTCACTGCCTTGAAGATCTCTTGGAAATTATGAATTACACAACGATAACGGTTTGCAAGTATAAATGAGAAATAGGCTCATAAAGTACCATTGATGGCCATCGCCTACACTAGTTTAAAAGTAAGAAAACCTACACGAGCATTGTTCTAAACGTTTCAATGACGGTACTCGAACCAAGCGTGATAATTGACGCATCTCTATGAGGGTGGAAACAGTTTTGCTTGTACTTGGATATTTATTATATGGTGGTACTAGACACTGAAAATATGCAGGTGAAAAATGTGCTATTGGAAAGTGAAGTTAATTAAACTTTTTGAATGTAGCAAACAAACATCGAATAGGTGCAGGTTCAGGCTGTGTAAATTTTGAACACAATCGATCAATAAAACAGTGCATTATAAACAACTGGATGAAAAATTATTATTACTGCGAACTGCATATACTCCTTTCGCTGCATGGTGTTTGTTCAATCAGTTAAGCTAATAATAAAATACGTGTTCGAATCTGACATTTGCAATACGCACATAACTGTATTAAAGGGCTTCCAGTTGTATGTTATCGTACTACCTATGCTTGAGAATGCTTAATTTAGAAATTGGATGAAAATGGATGACTAGAGCATCGTTTTGGACGGTGGGCGCAGCGAAAAAGAAGAAAAGAGTTAGAAGCGTTCTAAATGTGGTGTTACAGACGAATGATGAGGATACCGCGGATAGGAATGAGGACGTATTAGAAAGGGTATGAGACTAGATGGTGCTATGGAAGTCAATATGAGATAGGGAAGATCGGCTGGTAGGGCTTGAATGGCTAGATAGAGATATTAGAAGCAGAAACACGAGTTTAGAGAAATGGAGGTAGACCTACGTTAGATTATTGTTTACAAATAGTTAACCGTGGTAGTATGTCCAATCAGTCTTAGCACTGACGACCCTATGATGAAGATGCTTGATTTCTTCCAAAGGAGGGATAATTGTAGAATTTATTGTGTATCTACTTTCTCCTAATAGGAAAAAAATCTTCAGACAAATCACGTCATCTAAAGATAGTGTATTCAAGAGAGGCATTTAAATATCGTGATTAGAACAAAGTCACTGGATTGCAATTGTGAAGTGGCGGAGGTATGAAGATTTGAGGAGCTACATCAGAAATCTTTGGAACCATGGAACAATTACAGTGAAACTATGCATCGTACGAAGATGAAAACTTATTGTACCATGAAAAAATGTCCAGAAATACGATCGCTTGGCTCAAAGGGGACTAGGGATGCACTGAAATTCTTTTTGAAGTCATACTTCTTTTGGCACATTGAGATTAAAATTATACCATGCAATGAAAATTGCCCGCTCAGTATGCAACGGAAGTGGTGTGGCAGCACATGTCTGAAGTTGCGCGCGCAATGAATAACCATCAACAGCAAATGTCAGCTGCGATTCAAAGCATTGTTTAAATAAATACACAATTATTTATTCGTTACTTAATTATGGATCTGTAAATACATAGAAGCATAACTTCTATCGCGTGTACATAGACATCTTCACTTTTTTAATTATGTAAGCATACAATTTCGTTAAGTTTTCGTTAAATAATTGTAAGTTTGTTATGGTGAGCGTTCGAGAATATCTTGAGCTCATGATTCAGCACCGTCAGATAAATTGCGACTGTTGACGAAAGGATGATTTCTTTTGGTTATTAGAGAGACACTAATACCACTTCCGCAAAGGGAGCCAGGAATAAATTCGCTTTATAGGTATATATATATTCGCCTCTACGATGGAGCGGATGTTACGAATGGTTCGAAAGGGAATGAAAGACAAAGGAAAATACGTTGTTTATGTTTGCATGAATACCTGTGTGCGCGGGCCGACGAGCGAAAATTGGAGCAGGTTAAGATAAAAAAGGAATCTGTTATAAAGTACTTATTATTAAAATAGAAATGAAAACAGAAACAAAAAGGAGAGACGATTTGTGGTTCGTCGCGTCAACGTAAAATAATGCCGATATCAAAATCTACAAAAGTACAGTAATACCTGTAACACTTTTATTTGATGTATCTAAAACAATTGTTTTATCTTATTTGGTCTCTTAATAGAGGGTGACTCTAGAAATAGTACATGAAAATTTAATTTCCAGTCGGAATGGTGATGAAAAATAGGAGATGATTAACATATTGTCTGACATTTTTTACACTAAAATATTATTACTGAACACAAAGCGTTTTGAGTTATGTGACAGGCTCACTTTTGGTCCATCATCATCATAAGGTCGTCGGTCCTTAGACTGACTGGAT